GCCTAAGTGAGAATAATTTGTTCTTCAAAGTGAGTGCACTCATGGGGAAATTCTCCAAACTGAAGTAATGGTTGTATCACAATTGCACTAATTTGCTTGGCACTGAGAGTTGGCCAGGGTTTCGGCACAGATACATCTAATCTGCTACACATGTTTGCTTGTTGTCATTTCCAGGATGTTTTGAATAACATACTCTAGATCCCACCATGAGCTGATCTTCACAGCCATTCTATCACAATCAAAGCCTGGCAGTGTTTTGTGAAAGCCAGAGTTCTCCATTTTTGATCAGTAAACCTGAGCCGATAGGCAGGTGCAGATCTATGGAGTAGTGCAGAACACTCCGTGGATCTGCACCTGTCTATCACACTCAGCAAATGCCAAGACTATCAAGAGGACAATCAGATAAATCCTGCCATCAAAGGAAGATACTTGCAGGGAGCCACAAAACTGCTCCCTCTTTTTGTATATCTGTTGAGTCAGCCAAGACGTTGCATAGATGCCGTTGTATAAATTCATGTGTACTGACAAAAAAAATGAACAATGCAGAGGAGCAACTCAATTGTTTTCATTCATTTTGTTTCTCATCTGCTGCTGTGAACGTAAAGGCCAAATCTGCCCTACCTCTACTACATCCACCCATGTGCAGAACTGTGTTCTCTAGGCTGCTTTACATATCATGATGCAGCAAACCCATCTTTACATTCTACATGGAACTACAAAAATATCCTCTTGAATAACATATATTGGCAAAAACAATCTGATACTCTGAATTCGTTGTTTGGGTGTTTCTGAAAGAGTCCTTTAGATAGCTTTGGGGAGTTGGAACATAGGCTGTTCATCTGGAAACCTTGAAGAACTATTTCGCACTACTGATCAGTAGATGTAGCCCATGCTTTCCATTCATGTTTGTGGTAATAAGTAATCGCTGGAAGACTTATTATAATATGAGCCTGCATATGAAGAGGAGATATTTACAATATTCTGATCTATCCAAACTGTTCCAGGGAGTTAATAATAAGTAAAAACATTATTTCAGCCTGTTTGTGCATCGTCATCAGGTCCATCCACAAAATTGTTTCAGCTTCCACCCAAAATAAATATTCAAAACAACAGTCTCATTCTTTGTCTGTGGGTAACTCCCAGAGAAAAACGACACATTCATTCTGCACATCATCATCCATTGCATGCCCCTCCTTTCTACATTATTCAGAGAGGGGCTAGACAGGATTTCATGTCACATGTCACAAGCATAGACATTCCAAGGGTTTATGTTCCACTGCAAGTCTTATTTTAAGCTCCAGAAGAGGCTGAGGTCATAGCCATTCACAGGCTATCTCAAATAAAAGCAAGGTAGCTGAAGCATTTTGCTACTGTCTTGAAAGAGTCAAGAGTTAATAAATATGTTTCCTGCGTAGAAATACTCCAGCCCTACTGTTCTACCTGAATTTGGGTACACTTTAGCAGAAAGAGTCAGTTTTTAACAACTTAAATGTTTGTTACATTTAATTTTTACCCTACTCTTCCTCCGAGATGCACTAAGTCTCAGGAAAATATGAGTGGCGAGGGTGTAGAGGCAGAAGCAGACAGTGTGTGGAACAGAGACAGAGAAAGTTGTGTTGTGACATGTGTCTGTCCCAGTTTAGACCAAACAAGAAACTATGATTTAATTTTATGTCTACATAGCACCATTTGTCTCAAATGCCTACCCTTCCTCTTTCCTCCTCCTTTGCCTTCAAGCGATGAGACTGAAAGATTTTGAAATAACCCTAATTCCCTTTTATGACTGAATTTGGTGATTCGTTAACAAACCAAGATCTGAAATCAAAGTTTGATCTCAATTCATTTTAGATTAACACCATTAAAGCAAACCACAGCACTCAAAGCTGATACGTGATGAACATTAAATGGTAAGAAGCTGAAGCCATCTTCCCCACCCTACAAAAAGAGAGGGAGAACAAAGTTGGAGCCTTACTGGAAAACATTTTCATAACAAGAGGAACCATGGTTTTCTATTACGTATGTCTAAACTGGATGGATATAAGTTACATACTGTATTTCAGCATTACAGAGTACTGATCAAACTTACTTTCAAATGTACATTGCCAACCAATTATCTACATATTTCAGTATCTTGCATAAGACACCAATTTCTGATAAAATTGTGTATAAAATTATATAACTTCAAAATAAAAACTCTATATTTTTAGTTACTAATAGCATAGTTACTTCTACGTAACTATTCACTTTTCCTAATAATGAAGGTATAATTCAGTTACATTACAACTGCACAGAGCAATAACATCACTCCTTTCAGAGTGTTGCTGTAATCTTTTAATTCCTTTTAGAGTTTTGGGACATAGCTTGTGGGGGAGAGATAACACAGTTCAGGTATGTGCTATTCTGTTGTATATGTTGTGGCAGTGCCAAGATAGGAGGAAAAAGTGTTATATCACAGACCAGTGGCTTGTAAATATATTTTTAAAACAAGTAATTAAAAGTATCTGTACTGTTATGAATAAGTAAATGGTAACTAACTGTTACTTGGGCCTTCAACCTTTAATTGAATCTACTTGCTTTTAAAAACAACTTTCCAAAAAATTTTATTTCTCAGCCTGCCAGTCAGTTCTCTTGCTCCAGTGTTTATTTGTTTGTAATGCCAACTCACATGTGAATGCTGACACCTATTCTTCATTACACTTCTAGCAGGCAGAACTGCATAAACAAACTTTACATTACAAATATTTGGAGCAACATGCTATTTACTCCTAATATTGAAGCAGTTCTCTACATAAGAAAAAACCATTCAGCATAGACTGACATACATTCGTAGAAGACAGCTGCAAGAGACATGCTTGCATTTTGATCTAATTCTAACAAGTAGGCCTAAACTCAATGGTAGATACTCATTGAGGGCACTACTGTACTTCTTTCACTGGAATCAGAAAATGGCAGTTCCCACCACCACCACCGCAGGCCCCAATGCATCCTAAAAACCTGCTCCAGAAAGGCCTCTAGAACAAGATTTCAAAAGGATCAGCAACAGGGAAGGGAAATGTTGTGGGACCAACATTAGCATTAAGGCTGGATTTATCCATTATGGAGGATACTTTTTTTAATTGCTCCTGCTTATCAATTTACAGTGGCATTGGGTTTTTAAAAATCATCCCTAGGAAGAGCAAATTAAAACAGTAATCACAATTCAGCAATACTATCCTCTCTTGCAGGGATACTGCCATGTGTTTGATAATAATAATAATTGTGTGCCATCAAGTCAATTCAAACTTAGGCCAACCATTTCCAGGGTTTTCTTGGTAGAGAATGCACAGAAATTGTTTACCAATCCTTCACTCTGGGACTGCACAGCTTGCCCAAGGCCACACAGACTGATTCTACTCACAGGAGACACAATGGGGAATTGAACTTCAACGATCAGATACCTAAATCACTGAACTATCCAACCAGTTACAGATACATTTTAAAAGGCTACGAAACATATTTCCTAGTACTGCCTATCGCATTTGGCTTCATATGAATCTCTTAACAAGTATAGCATCTTCATTAAAACTGTGGTTAGTTTACACTAGAACATTTACTATTTTGTACTGGACTTATTTTTTGAAGAACATTCCTGTTTCTGCTCAAGCCCCCTTTCCTAAGACGTTGAGATAGGCATTGGTGCATTAACAGACTGCTAATAAACTGGAATTTGTAATTGACGTTAAATGGATTACTGATTATTGCTTGCAAACTAACTTAGATTTATTAGTACTGTACTGTACAGATAAATTAGCAAAAACACACTAGCTGATGGGGAAAAATGCTAGTTCAACCACCCTCAGACCTGCCTTCCAGGTCTTTTGGGCTGGCAACCCCAAACCTCAAAACCTGCAAACCCCAAACCTCGCTAGCCAGTATGGCCAGTGGCCAAACTTTTGCGGACTTGACTGCAGTTTAAGCTGCTAGTCCCCATCGGCTTCCCTTAAATTTATCTTTACTATGCAAGAAGGAAATGTTTAACATCAGACATGGCCCTCACATAGCCCAAAGACAATACAACGAACATTGACTGGATACAAAGCTGTTCATGCTGAAACAGTGCTCTGGTGGTATAAGCAGGATTAGTTCAGATCAGCCTTCCACTCATGCTGTTCACCAAGCATCAGACTGTTTGCTTTAAAAGGTAAATTAATTTGCTTGTGTCTAATGACTGACTGGATGAGCACACAAAATGCAGCAGCTGATAACTAGAAGATGGGGCATCTGACAATCATTCCGTGAAGAAATCCTTCAGAAAAGCTGGCTAATAATTATTCTTTTCAAACAGCAGAAAGCTTTGCTTTGCTCAGTTTTTTCCAACAAACATGCCATAGCCTGTCTCTTGCAGCTCTCCTGTTGCTTTTTTTTCTCCTAGCACTTACACTTCAAGCCATATTTTCAAGAAAATGAAGTATTTTAAAATACATTAGTACAAACAAGCGCACGCACATGCACACACACACATGACTACACTCTCCATGATGACACCACTTTTTTCTCTGTTACTTTCTTCATGTTGTCATTTTTTTTGTAATGTATTTACTTCCCAGTTTCTAGAGCTCAGCTTTTGCACTACAAAATAATTGTTGTAATTCTTCAGAAGTTGTGCCATGAAAGATGATTACGTTTTAATACCATATTAAAGCTTGTTTTGGTTTTTCTAATCTCTCCTTGTTCTTAACCGCAACCCAGCCCAGGCTCTCAAAGGTGTTTTACAACCTAAAACAGAAAAGCAAAGTTACTGCCAAAGCAATATTTAACTATATTTTGCTTACCTATCCAGAAAGGTGGACTATTTACACTAACCTAAAACAGAAAAGCAAAGTTACTGCCAAAGCAATATTTAACTATATTTTGCTTAGGTGGACTATTTACACTGTATCTGTTCTCTTCCAAACTACCTTCTTTTAGATGTTTCCTTACAGAAAATATTTAATAGCTCTAAAAAAGATGTCTATCCTTACCTGGCTCTGCCATTCCACACGGACAAGCTGAACGCTATTATCAGCTCTTTGGGTACTAATTCTTGCTTACTAGATGGATATTTTTCTCTTGCTGGATTAATAATCAACTTTCTAGATCAGTTCCTTTGCAATTCTCTTCTAGTTAACCCCTTGTATTCTTTTTCCTCTAACCCTGAAGAGCACATACATCTTTTCAGCTAGGTCTTAACGAAAATTGGAGGGGCGGAGGGGGGGGGCACAAGGGCAACCATGAAAGAAAACCAAATAGACAGACCTCCAAACCAAGCCATAAACCAAGCAGAAAGTACTTACGTATTAAGCCAACAGTTCAACTTCAAGGATTAAGAGCTTTCCCATTCTTCATGGGTAGTCACATGACAACCAACAGTATGATCCAACATCATTCCACCCAACTGTTCCCAATTCATCTGATTCTTTCTCCTAAGAACTAACAGAGTAAGGATCATCAGTAGTCTTCAGTGCAGAGTAAAAGTTAAAGACCGCACCATATGACAAATTAGCTGCAAAACTGTCAGAGCTATCAGTTGATGCAAGGCTGTCCATCTGTGTTGTCAGAAAAAGAGGAAAAAAATTAAAAAAGAGGCCAGGAGGAAGAAAAAGATAAGAGGCACCCTGAATTGCTCCTTTTTTCGCTTCTTTAAAAAACAAAACAAAACAGTTCACATTAGGTCAGAATTGTAGAAAGCAGAAACCCTAACAATTCTCTCCCACACATTCATAGTAATAAATAACCACAGAGGGGAAAAAGGATGTATTTAACAGTTGCAGTGTATCACTATGAACTGTTCTTATGGAAACTAAAAATACAAAATCAACTGGAACACAAGATAATGTGTGGAATAGGAAGGAATCATACGTGCTGATTGGCAGTGTCACAGAAAACGAGGCTGAAATCCTCAGTATCACGATGGAAATGGGATGGATTTAGCATTGGTTAAGATGAAGAAGAGGGAAACAAGGTGCTCTGGAAATTAAGCTGCCGTGTTAAAGTGAGAATAAAGGGAAGTGCAACCTTTCTATCTTGCCTATTCTTTTTAAAAAGCAATGAGTTAGCTTTAGGGAGCCCTGGGCAAAATCCAGGAGATTGCAGCTTTTTCACTTTAACAAAAGTGATTTCCCTGCAAAAAGCATGCAGGAGCTGTTTTATTAAACAGCCCTGAAGTACCTTTATGTTCCCCACAGACAAAGGGCAGAACCTCTTCAAGATCAGGCCCAGCACAAAGAAGATTGACCTCCCCTTTGTACAAAACAAGCAGCAAATGTATATTTTTACATGGGAGCAATGGGCTTTGTAGCAGCAGCTCTTAAAACCATTTATTGTAAACTTTCCATAAGATATGCTGTAGACAATAAAATGCTGAAAAGTGTAGAAGCAAATTTCCTTCATATTTATAGGGAATATTATTCCTTGCCTGTTTGAAGAAAAACCTTTTTAAAAAGCCAATAATGTGAGAAAGCACAGCAGCTAAATTTATTGTTAAGTATCGCATCACTGATACTCCTGGGGGTTTTTTCTTCATGGGAAGAAAGCTTAAATAACATTTTCTAACACATTGAAGTGCTTTCTAGAAACGTGATGGCCTACAGAGGCAGCATGGTATGAAAGCACACAAGAACTCTAGGTTAGTAAACAAGCTTTTTATTTATTTATTTATTTTTCAGAGGATGAACACAAATAAATCCAACTTTGTTTCGGGAAAGCGAACTATAGTTATCTTTTGTTCTCTGAAAGGTACATTATCTCTCTTTCCTGTTTCACCTGACTAATCGTGAGGTATTTGTTCCATCACCTGACTTAGTGGTTGGCTAGAAATAATAAGACAAAACAATCTGCTATTGTTACATGAGACAACAACCTTTCATGTCCTTGAGCTCACCATGACCTTTCACCCTCCCTATCCCCCAATGGTCTCTCCTAACAACTAAAACTATACTCAGGCTGAATTCCAGATTGTCATATAAAGAGCCCTGTCCTTTCAAAACAAAACCAATTTTTACACCAAGGTGGGGGAGAAACACAAGTCCATTGTTCCCTCACAGATGGAAGTTAGAGTTACTAAGGCAACAGCTCTAATCCTCCTTTTACCACCTTTTTCACATCATTGGCCTATCAAGTATGCTACCTTTTAACTCATAAGCTGAAAACCTGGTAGTCTAACTGGCTGCTCTAATTAGCTACGATTTTCACAGTACAGACAACATGATGAGCTAATCGAAATTTGCAAAATAATGACGTACCTCCAGCAAATATTCCTCCTCCTGAGGCCCAGTCTTAGAATAACAATAATGAGACCATTATTAGAGGAGGGCATTAAAATGCTGCACTGCTGCTAAACAGAGAACTTAATTGTTCTGGTCTTGTCCATTGAATCAACAACCTATTGTTGCGAACTTGAAAAATAAAGGACTAGAGAATGGGTGCCATAATGATTGGTCTGTGCTGCCATACCAGCACTCTGCAGAATTGTTTTTTCCTTTTGAAACTCTTGATGGACTAGTAGTTTTGTTTAAAAGTAATATAAAAGGCAATTGTTTGGATTTTAAAAAGTGCTATTTATTGAAATCCTTAGATGCAGTTGCAAGGATTTGTTCATGACCCCCTGAGATATTTTAAAAAACACAGAGACAGGAATACTACTATTTGAAGCAGTCTATTATGACTGCCTGCAGTTATATTAGATATTACTGGCTGCCTGACTACCATGAGGAAGGAGAACAGTGCCATGGCAGTCCCATGGATCAACAGAATATTCCCTTGGAGAGACTGTGGGGAGCTCCACTGGAAACTTACACACTTTATGCAAAGTATGAGTTTTACTAAATAACTATTTACACCTCAGAATCTTTATCAACTAATAATGAATAGATTCAGGTATATTTTAGGTAGAATATTTGGCCGTTATTTCTAAAAGAATGCAAAGAGCAAGTCAATTTCCCCAGGGAAAATGCCACTGAAATTAATGAGACAATTTGAAAAACATATATATATGGAGTGCCTTGGAAAGTGAAGGGCTCTGCAGTTTTCTAAGTTAGCAAAGGATTGGCCAGCTAGCAGGAATGTTGTAGCAGCAGAGTTCAAGCATTGGCAGGACAGTGGACTTTGAGGTCCTTTCCAGCTTTGTGACTCTTGGAGATCCTTGCATCATCTGAACTGGGTTTTTTTTAACTTGCATGTTTGTTTGCTTATTAAATTGAAATGTGGGTATTTTACTTTGAATATACTGAATTGGAAGTAATTTATCAGAGCTATCAGTGGATAGCATAGTGAGTTGGAGTACGAGGCTGGGAATTCAATTTCCCTCTGTATTTACTAGGAGAAGAGTCTATATAGCCTGCACAGTCCTAGAATACCACCAGAGGCAGCAGCAATTGGAAAACCACTTCCGAGTACTGTATACCTAAGAAATGTTGGCAAGGGTCTCTGTGGTGTCCACCCTCGTGCCCCTTTGCTTGACCTTCAAGCCTCAGAGCACACGAAGGCAAACACTCTCTTCTTTTACACTTGCTGCCACCAGGTGATCTCTAAATCACCATTACTTCAGAAAGATTCAGGTCCACACTTCAAGTCCTTTTAAATCAAACTTTGGTTTATTGATTACATAGATTGATTCATGAATATCTTCAGTAGTTAATCATTCCTCAGAATTTCCCCCAACTACCCCCTCTATTACTCTCCCTCTTTCTCTCTACACACTGACTGCAATATTGACTCAGGCTCCGCCTCTTATAGCATCCGTCTTGGCTCCACCTCACAGCAATATGAATATTCATAAACCGTTACATAATACAACAAGAACCATAGATCTAATAAATGGAGAACACTACAGTCTCCATAAGTTTGAATTGGCTTGACAACACATAGGTACTTAATTATATCAGTGCTTTCCTCTGTGCATGTTAATTTCTCACTTAGCCTCTCTTTACAGTTGAGATTGCCAGATCTAGAAACTGTAATGTTAGACTGTCAAGATAAATGGAGGTTTTCTCCCACTTATTTACATAGGCAGCGTGTTTGGGAGTGAAGATGGTGCCCAATGTATAGGTGCTTGTGAGCATTATAGTCCAGAAATGGCAGAAATGCTTGTTTTGTTTGAAAAATATTTATAGCAGACACAGCTGCCTGAAGCTACCTGACAGAGGAGTATATAAACTATAAATTGGTAATCCTCAGAAGTTTAGAAGGGGAGGGACAAGAACACTTGGGAACAGCAAAGAGACAAAAGAAGATAAAGTGGGCTTAGAGGAAGCAACATTAGTTTAGAAAAGTTAAATGTTGAAGAGACCTGAATGTGAAAAACTGGGGTGTATCAATATAGCAAGTGTTAATTTAGGTAGATCAGGAAACAATGAAGATGATATTTTTGATGGAATAAATGTATTTTGCAACAGAAGTAGGACAGAAAGAAAATCTTAATGACTGATGTAGAATAGAATTAATAATGTCCATGCCATATATTTGTATATACACACAAATATTTGAAGAGTTGGACCTCCAACATTAAAACAGACAATAGAAAACATATCAGATTTCAACTGCATCCTGGAATTACACTGAAATAAGAATCCAACCCATAAACCCTCTCACTGCATTTTTACTTTTGAGTTACATGTACCTGTATCTGTTTTTATCTCAATATTGTTGCAAGAGTTTAAAAACTGTTATGTGGCATTTTAATGTATGCATACCCTGGTGTGTTTTTTTTAAATTTTTGTTGCCTCTGGACTCAGCTTGTACCCATTTCATTTAAGTGAGATACTTTTCCTTTGTAAATTGAAAAAGAAAATACATAATATCAAATAGTATTAAACTGTAAACAAGACCTCTTGATTTATGGAATCCTTGCTTTGCTTCATTTATCTTCATCTTGTTAGGCTAAATTAATTACTCTCAGCACTGCACACTTTCTCTTTTCATTACATCAAATATTATGGTCTAGATAGGGGAAGATGTTCTTGCCAGAATGATTTTGGAACACAACCGTGAGGAAGAATCTCTACTCATGTGCAGCTCAGGCAATTCTAACTAA